CTGCTGAGGTACACTCCCCGCCCCGGGGGTGTCTTGTCAGGCTGGAGGCCTGAACCAGGAGTGAGCCCTTTGCCAGCGGTGACCCTCCTGTGCTCCGTTCCAGCCCGGGCTGGGTGGCAAAGCTGATGTGCAGTTTGGGTCAAAACCATGGTCAGAGCAGCGCTAGAAAACTGCATTCCCTACCTTGCGCTGTAAATAGCAGGAAGGAGAGGTCTGTGGAAAATGTATGCCCTTGACACTGAATATAAACTTGCATCATAACAGTATGTTTCTGTTTTAGATTAAAATGAAATAATACTTTAAATCGCCTTGTTGTGGTCCACCAGCCATGATATGGTTGAAACCGTAAGCTGCTTTGTCTAAGAACTTACAGTGAATTTTTTAGATTGGGTGTATAACCTAATTCACTGTCTCAGATGGTTAGAAACAGAAAATAATACATGGAAAGGATTCTCTAAGAAAGTAATATTATCTGTAAAGTTACTAGGGCTATATTGTGTTATGTAATTCTTCATTTGGCGTTGTTTGATAACAATCTATTTGAGTTTTTCAGTTCTTGTTAAGTATTTGGTTTTGTTTCTCTTAACAGTGACTGTATTCTTAAGCACTTTGACTCCGAAATTCTACTTTGCACTTACGGTGACTTCATCTTTTATATCTGGACTGATATTTGTAAGTAGTCAGCTTTATTTTTTTTAAAACAACTTTATCACCTCTAAGATGCTTTCATTAGTGGTAACTGCAATCAGCTTTTTTTTATTAGACTCTAGAGGGTGCTTTTGTACTAGGAAGGAACTTGTTTAATAGCTCCTCTAATGCAGTATACATACTCTTTTGCTATGTGTGTTGTACGTTGGGGTGAGTCTAAGGAAAATAACTTGCACCTATTTTAGAAAGTCAGGCTTGTTTTAAGGAGGTAGGTGTACATATGTACGTATAAGTATGTGTGTATGTACATAGGTACATTAAAAATGTGATATATACACGCAAACTCTGCAGACCTCTCTGTGCAGAGAAAACACTGAGATTTTTATCTCTTTTAAACTAAGTAGTTAAGAGTTTAGCTTTCCACAGTAATTTTGGGGGGCTTTTGTGCACGTGTCATCATGTAACTATCTTAATAACTTTGGTGTGAAAGTGAGCCAATCATTCAGCTCATCTTCAGACGACAGCATGCACGGATGTGGCTGACTTTGCATGAAATGAATGGGGCACGCTTGCACAGTCAGTTCTGCTAGCTCAGCTGTTTCTGCAGTGATGATCATCTGACCCTGATGCAGACTGTGGCATTACATACAAATCTTTTGAGTTAATTTTAATTTTCAGTATTAAAACCTGAAGAAAATATCTCTTCTCGTCAATTAAACCTATTTACGAGAATGTGCAAAATCTGTTTCATAGGTGATTTATTGTAGCCACAATTAAAAAAAAAAGTGTCTTGTTTATGTGGCAGAAACAACTTATTTGCTGTAAGTAATGTTGCTTGGGTTTTGATTGAAGGATTTGAGGAAAGTCATACAAGGAGAAGGATTCTGCTTGTGATAGGTCTTTTACTTAGGTTTGCTCTTAAGAGAAAAAAGGTGGTTATTGATCAGCCAATATTTATAGTAATGCTTCTTACTGAAGAATACAGTTTGTCTAAACATCACGTCTTTCTGCATGCTAATGAAAATACTCAGGTAAGTTGGTCCAGGGCTGACAGTATGGTATAGTGCTTGAGGACTTGTGATACACAGCTATTTTTAATAGCTTCAGAGAGAGAAATGGTAATATTTTTGAATTTCTGGTACGTGAACTTGATTGCTATTAATTCAGCCTTTTCTCTTTGGACTTTTCTGAATGGCAGAACATGTCAGTTTAACTGTCCGTTTTGTAGTTTATTCTTTTAGATTATATTTGTGAAATGAAAAACCTACACCTGTTTTGAGGTTCTTGCTTCTATGCACAGTTTCCCTATACAGGCATCTTCTGAAAGGGTTTAGAAGTTATCCTAATGACTTGGGGAAGGGGGCACATATGTTTGACTAAGATTTTACTGGTTTTTTTTAGTCTCTCTCATGTTATGTGGGTAATCCTGCATGAGGAGACAGGCCAAAACAGATAATTAGTGTTAAGTGGTATGTAGATAAGTTCCACCTGTAGTCATTAGTAGGGGATGTACTAGAGGTGAACATCTGGCTCTTCATCTCTGATGTTTATGTTGGAAGGGTGTCACCTAAGGAAATTCCTGATTCTTTTTTTTTCTGTGACAGGTGTTTGAGTGGTGGCATTTCCGAAAATACGGCACGTCTTTCATTGAGCAGGTTTCTGTGAGTCATTTGAGGCCCCTCATCAGCGGCACAGAAAACAGCCCTCCAGCACCAGCAGCATTCTCTGCTGGAGAGAATGAGACAAGCAGGCAGAATATGCCAGGTGATTGTTAGTGTGTCCCAGCAGTTTGCCTTAAGCTTCAAGGTGGCTCGTTCACGTGAACTGGCTTTTAAATGGCTGTGACTCTGCATGAGTGCTTGTAAGAACTGGAGAAAGGCCTACGTCTTACAATGCGTTTTATTAATAATGGTAAAACTAAACAAAACAATGATATAATCTTTGATCTAAAACATTTGTTATTAAACATATGATTTAGAAATTATATTACACATTTAGCAAAAACTGTTCTAGTAACATTAGATATTTACTGTACTGAGTATGTGCAAGATAAACATTGCATGAGTGTAAATGGCAGTGTTTAATCCTTCCACCATGTGCTTTTGTACCCCAGCAGTGTTGGGGAGCAAAAATATTTGTAGGGTAGGAGAATTTTATGAAGGAGTAGTTTGTATGATCATGCTCAGGTTGTCTAACAATAAAATTAAAGCAGCTTTTGAAACTAAAACTGCATTTGCCTGACTGCATTTTAAAGTCAAGGTAGTATTTCCTGTGCTCTTAATTCAAAATTCAAGAAGTTCTTCTTTTTTTTTTCCCAGAGTGCAAAGTATGGCGAAATCCTCTCAATCTTTTCAGAGGGGCGGAGTATAGCAGGTATTAATTATCTTACTTTCCATTGCATATTTTTAAAATTAATCAGGGGCATACACATGACTTCTTCACAGAGCTTGGACTAGTAATATCAGGAGACAGCCGAGACCCGCAAGATTGTAGCGGTGATTGATGCCAATTCTGTGTTTAAAAGGCACCTATCCAAGCTTTGGCAGTTTCAATGTTAAGAATGCAAATATTACTGTAACATCATCAGGGTTTTTTGAGAGTAAAGTAGAAGAAAAACTTTATTCAGAGGTTGAGACAGTGATTCTGAATCTAAATTCTCTTTTATTAAACTGATATGACTGTATTGTAAGTCTCCTTTTGTTATTTCATACTAAAAGCTGCTTCCCAGGAAGCCAGTTCCCAGGTTGTTTAGAACTTTACAACCTGCACAGATTGTGGAACAGTAGTATTTGAAACTTCTCGTTCGTGGCTCTAGTCTTTTATTAATAAAAATTTTCTGCACTAGCTTCGGTTGTTAGGCACGTCGGATATCCCCCTTGCTATCAGCATTACTGTTTCCTAGGAGTGCCTCTTACTGAAATTTCTCTCATTAAAGATACATGTGGGTGACTGGGAAGGAGCCTCTTACATACTATGACATGAATTTGTCTGCTCAAGATCATCAGAACTTTTTCACGTGCGATACAGATGCCCTTCGGCCTTCAGATACAGGTACCCATGTCGTATGCATAAGGTATATAACTGTTAGAGAGACTAAAGTGGATATTTTTAATATACCTCAAAGTAGCGCAAGCTATTGTGTCAAATATTTTGTGAAACGATAGTCTTTCTCAACTACTAAGGAGGTTTAATAGATGTATTTAGTGAAAAGATGTTGTTTTACCTTGTGCTTTCTCTACTAACTTTAAGGCTGTCAGGATCCTGATGTATTTTAAGATCTCATACTTTTCCAATAATTAACAACACAATATTGAAAACCTGGATTATATTCTCAACAGCCAAAGACGTGGTCTCATTTAAACCTTAGTAATGAATAGTGCAGTCTCCAGAATTTTTTCCTTGTGTTCCAAGTGTTTAGTGCAGAAAATGTTCTCTACCTGGTTATTGTCAGACTGGGTGCGAACTATTGTCAATTTGTCAAGTTCCGGAAGTGTTACTTGTCAGCTGGCTGTGACATGCTTGATATGAAGGATGTGGTTTTGTTTCACAAAATGGAGTGTATTGTCTCACTTGCTAAGCCAAGACTAATATTTTGTTTCCAGAAGAAAACTCAAACATTTTTCCACGTTATTCTTGCTGGACAGCAGAAGGTTTTGTTCCAGAAGAAACATGTATAGATTCTTCTGTTTTCTTGTTGTATTTGAGACAGGCCAGATATGCAACTGCATGAATGTAAAGTTTTGGAGTTCTTTCAGAACTGTTATTTAGTGTGAAAGCTCTTAGTTCTGCATAGAAAATGGTAGCTCCAAGTATGTTGTTTTTCTTTTGCTGGAAGTTGGGTTTCGGTTTGGGATTTCCATTTTTCCCTAATGGAAGCAGAGTGGGGAGAGGTTTAAAGTCATTGCACTGAAATTTTGTTTGCTCCTTATCTGACCATAATTTTGAATCCAAGTTGTAATTCAAATGACCCTTTTGAATAGATATGTTTCACCCTTTTTACTTGTTTCCTAGAACACTTTCTAATAAGGTGATAAATTACTATAGTATATCTTGAATTGGCTTTGCCATGTTATGCAACTTCCATGTACTTTGTAAATTTAAAAATAAATTGTTTATAATCTGGTAGTTGTCTAAATACCTAAGTATGAAACTATACATGTGCAAGACACAGCTTTCTCTATTACTGTTTTCTTTGAAGTTCTGTTTGAAAGCGTAAATTAAAATTCTGTGCAGGTTCGTGCAAGAACCTGTGTTTAACAATTGCTCCTGCCAAGCTTTCAACAAGTCTTGGGAAATGTTTCCAAAAATCTGTAGCAATTTAGAAATTGTACATCTGCCTGGTTATGTAAGCTGTCTTCGCTTCTCAGTGTAGGAGTTCTTAAATGGTCAGTGAATAATCTTCCTGGTGGTGTTGCTTTCTTAAATTAAATTTGGAGTGTAATGAGAAATTGCAAGATTCTGCTGCTTGTGGTAGAAACTCCTGCTGGAATTAAAATACTTGTTTGCTCTTCCCTGTGACAATCATATAGCAAACAGGAATTTGCAAAATGGAAGTGAGTGTTAATGTAGAGCTGAGGCATGCGCAGCCAGCGTTGTCTCCGTTGGCTCCCAGGTGTTTTGCCAGTGTCTCTGTCCCTCACCAGCCTTTTCCATGTTTTTGCAACAGTTATGCAGAAAGCATGGCGGGAGAGAAACCCTCAAGCCCGGATTAAAGCAGCGTATCAAGCTTTAGAGTTGAACAATGAGTAAGTTTAGAGTATAAGTTCAATTGCTCTATTTCTAACATGAAAGATTAAGTGGAGTACTGTTGAGCACACTATCAGTTTCTTGTTCTAATAATTTACTTTTAGCAAAGTTCTGAATAGTTTAAGGGGGACTTCTGTGACTATGAGAATTGCACATGGGGCTGTCAGTTGCACTGAAGTATTGAATGGTTCTATAAAAAACAGCTTTTGTTCTCCCTTTTTCTTGGGAAAGTAGCAATTCTTGTATCAGTAGCAATAACAAATGAGAAATCTTATTCAGATGTGGAACAGTCTAAATTGAATATGAGATCGTATGTGTTCCAGAGATGATATTGTGGTAATACTGTATTTGGAGTTCACAGATGCCACCCCTGTAAGGGATTTAGAAATACTCTTCTAACATAAACCAATGAATTTCATGCATTTCTGTGATCTGTTTTGTTATGTAGTCTTGTTGTTTTTGTGTAAAATGTCTGCCTCTTGGTTTTAAAAAAGCAAAGTAAACCAAACACAAAAAACCTCTTCAGACGATTACCAGAACATTTTTAATATTTCAAGGAAAATAATTTGACTTGCTGTTACAATTCTTTCTTTTGTTTTTTTTCTCTAAATGTGTGCTTTTTCTGTAAAGTGGAAAAGATTTCTGTTTTCCTGCCACTCACCGTTTGAACTCGAGTCAATATTTTGGTACTTTAATATTGTCAGTGCTTAGATACTGAACATAAATTAAAACTACCCATTTCTAATGCTTTTAGCACTTACTCAAAAAATGCTAAACTTTGTCCCTTAGAATAATTAGTGGTTTTTTTCCTTATTGCAGTTGTGCCACTGCGTATGTCCTCCTGGCTGAGGAAGAAGCAACAACTATTGTGGATGCTGAGAAGTATTTCAAGCAGGCTCTGAAAGCAGGAGAAATGATTTACAGAAGGTCTCAGAACTGCCATTCCCAAAGTCCCCAGCACGAAGCACAGCTGAGTAAGGACTTTTGAGTCACACAAACTCTTGTTTTTATGTGAGCAGAAATGTAAAACTAAAGTTATAATTAGTGATTCTAGTTTGATTGCCAGTTGAGTGAGGCAGTTCCTACTGTTTTAGCCATGCTTATGCATGACATGCTACATGATCTTTTGTAGTACCTGCATTAATGTTAGGAAGTGGCAGTTAAGCTGTGTATTCATTGTAGGTTGTCTCACTGAGGCTTGGTATGTTATTGTCCTGGAAAGTTGGATAGGTAGAGCAGACTAATGAAGCAATTAGTGTAGGTCAGTAGTACCTTCTTTTATTCCACCCAACATTTTGGAAAAAAACAGATACTTTTTTTTTTGTCATTTAACCTAGTTAAAAGTTGCTGGCATTGGTGTAGATGGACCTTGATTGGGACAGCCGTAGTAATTATTTTATGCTTTTACATGTTAGGAAAAAGGTTGTGGGGTTTTTGGTGTTTGGTTTTTTTTTTTTGAGAGAGAAGGAAGGAGAGGTAAGGATTGAAACTGATAGACTAATTTTTTTTGTCATAATCAGGAAGAGACACCAATGTATTGGTATATGTGAAAAGGAGACTAGCTATGTGTGCAAGAAAACTTGGAAGAATACGAGAAGCAGTAAAAATGATGAGAGATGTAAGTAAAAGTTTTTAAAAGTGAGCAACTGTTGTTTTCAGTCACATTGATCAAATTGATGGTTTAAAGTTCCTTTCTAGGCATCATAATTAATCAATTATTTTCCAATGAGATTTGGACATAATGATTCACAATTTTTTTTTAGAACAATTTTTTTGGTTCCTACATGTAGGTTTTAAATTTTTATATTATATAATGTCATATGTTCACAGTTCTGTTGTCCAATTTCCTTCATGCTTGACTTGGCGACTAACTTGTCAAAATAGCTGACTTTAGACTTCACCACAATTTTTCTTTCACTTGCCCAAGGTGTATCATAAGTTCTTTTTTTGTAGGAAAATAGTACTGACCAAACCAACTCACTGTGGGAGTTGTGCAAATTTAGGCTGAGAGCATGTTGTATGAACCTCAGTGTACTTATTTTCCAGTAGGTGAATATAGGGAAAAAAAATAAGGTAGAAATGATGCGATTCTTTTCACGCTGCTTACGTGCCAGTTTCTAACACTGTGAAGGAACAGAACATTGAAAAAGCTTGAATTATTGTACTGATTTCTATTAAATATTTCAGGGATTCAAGTGCAATTCTGTATGTGCTTAATTAATTTCTCTTCACTGATGTGCAGTTGATGAAAGAGTTCCCACTTCTCAGCATGCTGAATATTCATGAAAACCTTTTGGAGGCACTGCTGGAGTTACAGGCTTATGCAGATGTCCAGGCAGTTTTAGCAAAGTATGATGGTAAGTGATGCCTATTGAGAAATACTGGTGTTTATGTGTAAGAGTATAGGTGAGGTGGGCAAGGTGTGCCTGTCCAAAAGCAGATGTCTACCCGTGATCTCAGCTAGCTGACTAAATTCCCTTCATTGGCAACAAATAGGCGCTTCCAGGGTGTAAGTCGAGTATTTTCTTTTGAATGATGAGGTCAAATTTAGGCAAGCTAAATTGCATACAAATTACTTTTTGTGTTTTTAAGTTACTTCTAATCTGTAAAGAAATCTTGGAGATCACTTTGCTTCAATTCAAGGATTATTTTAATTTTTTAATCCCTTCTGCGTCCCTGGTTATGCCTAAATTCATCAGCCTTTTCCAGCCAGCACATAGGCCCCTAAGTAATTGATGTAAATAAGCTGGAAAAGGTAATTTTCCCTTCTGTCATCTTCCAGGCTTGGCCTCATGATTCTGTAATACTGAGTTGCTTGCCAGAGATTAGCAACATGCAAGCATACTGCTTGCCAGAGATTCACGGTATGCAAGCTTTGGTCCATTAAATGGTAGTAGTTTGCTTTCACTTTCCATCTCAACTAATATGTTTCAGATGTTGTGCAACTCTAAATAAAGGTTAATAAAATATATACTTACTTTCTTACTGTCCTCAGAGTTTTGCCACCTAGATAATGCCCACATCATTAGTGTACAAGCTGATTCTCTTAAAGCTATCCCTTAAATCACCTTCAGAATGGAGGGACATAGAAGCAGTATTTTGTGGCAATCATTCCCTACTTGAGAAGCTGGTTTGTTCTCTCTTGTGTCTCTTCTTATTGCTTTTCAGGGAATTGAAAGTATGATATTCTTGCCCAAATCCTCTGCCCCTTGTGCGTGGCCACCCTAGCAGCCTGCTCCTGTTACTTGACTGTCCGTGTTGTTCTGTTGAATTCTTATTAATTTAACAAAACCATTTGCTCTTTTCCTGGTGCTTCTTTATGTTAACATCAGGAATTGTGACACTTTCTTAAAAAAGGTTGCTGATTTTTTTTTTCTAAGCATCTGGAAAAATGAGTTTGAGCTTCAAACTCTCTGTAGAGCCCCTGTGTTTTGCTTGACACGACAGCCAGACTTCTAGTAAGTGATGGACAAGCCCAGGCTGGGATTTACAAAAAAAGCAAGAGCCATCTGACTATACACAACATGGTTCTTGGGAATTAGACCCCAGACTTTGTCTGCTTTTAAAGTAAACTTGTACTGTGGAGTGCTAACCTTCTAATCTGTAATTGTCAGCTCAAACTTGGCCTCGTATATTCTACAAAACCTACAACTAAAAGAATTTATCCCCATGGAACTGGAAAAAATGGAAATAGCATTTTCATTAAGATTTGTCTACCTGTCTGTAATGTAATTTTTTTTGGTCAGCTTCTAGTCAGCCTCTCTTTCAGTATTGTGTAAAACTCTGTTAATGTACAGTTGCAAAATTAGGTGAAGGTTAGAAGCTTATTTTAAACCTTCGTGGGTTAATACAGGAAAAGTACACTGTTCTTAAGTCTGTATTTATACATGCATTTCTCTTTGAATTCAGTTTCAGTGTCTTGCTACGTTTAGAAGAAAAAATTACTCCTCACAACCTAACTGCAGCTGTGAGTTTTTAATCTGAGACTGACTGGTGACCAGGAAGAAGACTGTGCAAAGAAATTAAAAGTTTCTAATCATAGCTGAAATGTTCCAAATGTTACATTCATTGTCTGGTATACTGAAGTAAAAATCTTTAAGCTCAGAGGATGTGGGTTTAAAATATTTGTCTTACCTCAGAATCTTACAACTTAATTATTTTATTTTATCATAGATATCAGTCTTCCAAAATCAGCAGCAATATGTTACACAGCAGCCCTGTTAAAAGCCAGAGCTGTTTCAGAAAGGTAAGCAAGTGCGTTTGTGAAAACAGTGGTTTGTTGCTAATCGTGGGTTATGCTCTAAAATATGAACTAAAAAGGTCTAAATCCAATATGCAGCAATTAAATTTCGAAGAGCAAAGTTAAGTGCATTTATATATATATGTGTGTGTTTATGTGTAGCTAAATGTAATTTAAAGTTTCTTTTGGGCATCCATAAAGTTAATACAGGTGAAGATGGTTTTCAGGAGCCTGTGTACACACATGTGCTTTTGTATAAATTTTGTTTTCAGTGTCTTGCTTGTAGTGTTAAGAAGTTCTTTGTTTTGTGGTTTGGGTGCAGGATATTTATGGTAGTTCACGTTGGCATTTCACTTTCCTTCTGGTCTGTTTGCACAGCTGATTCTAGCTTTACCTCCGAGTAGGTGATGCTGTAACAATCATATGAAAGATTGGGCACTCGATTACCTTACGTGATTGACATAAAGTTTCAAAAAGTTAAACATAACTTTGTCATATGAGCATTGATGACAGTCAGGATACCTAAACTAACATGAACATTTGTCTCCTAGAAGGTTTTGTTTATCTTTCTTGATAAATCAGCCAATTTTTAATGAACTCCAAGCTTACAATGCAAATAAACACCTGGTTAGCATTTATTATTTATTACTTTTGTTCAGCGTGGGTTTTTCCCTTAAGGTTCTCCCCAGAAACTGCCTCCAAAAGAGGGCTTAGTACAGCAGAAATTAATGCTGTGGAAGCAATTCACAGAGCTGTGGAATTTAACCCTCATGTTCCAAAGGTAGGAGTGTTTTATTTCCTATTGGACCACTTTATTGTCTTCTGAAAAAAGTCATGTTATGTTATCATCTTGTTATTGGAGCGTTTCTAGCCCCAGGTTTTCTTGAAGTTGGTTATAACTCCAGCCATTGAGTTAAACACGCTAGTATTTATATCATAAATGTTTGGTGGCCAAAATTAGTTGTTTGCAATAGGTGATGATCAAACAGGGTTTTCTGCAAAAAAAATTATAAACTCAAAATTTTTCTAACTCGTTGGAAAATCCAGTAATGTATTACTGAAGGCTGTTTATTGGGTAAGGGTAAGCATTAATAAATATAAACGTAGATATTTAAAATCCCTGAAGCCAAATTAAGTTCTCCAGACAATAACCACTCAGAGTATTTCAAAACACTTTTTTCTGCTGTGCTTCCAACATGGCTTCGGAACTTGGGTTATTGAAAGATCTACAGTCACTTGTTTACATGTGGATGAAGAAAATAAGATTAAGAGTTGATATTGCTACAGGCTGTAATTTAATGTCTGGCATTACTTGAAGTGGCCAAGATGCAGATTCTGCTGAGCATTGGGTGAAAATCAAATCCTACGTTGCTTTTTACTGTACTACTATTGGTGGTGATTTCAGTTTGAAACCTTGAATGCAGAAGGTTGGCTTAGTCCTGGACCTAATCCTCTGCAAATGATCACGGAGTCCCAATGACTATTGCTGTGAAGGCTTGAATGATCCGGCCGCTCTATTCTGTCTGCCTGTCCAATCTAATAGAATGTGCACTGAGAAAGCTAATTGCTGGGAGAAATTGCTGCTTGTTTGCATGACTGATCAAGAGCGTAGCAAGTTCATTTCAGACAGTCTCAGACAGATTTTTCTTTATCCTCTGCCTTTAGGGGAAGAAGATTATAACGCATTATCATTATCTAAAAGTTCTTTTATTTTGTATATCCTTCATTTACTTCAGAAGCCTCATATACCTTTTTAAAGAAGTTAGATATCATTTCAAACAGGCTGTTTGCAAAATGTGTTCTGTAGTTCTACAGACAATCACAGAAACTGATTCCAGGTTGCAGTAATTTGATTTGATCTTCTGATTGTATACCTATCCAGTTGTCTTAATGTTTTGGTTTTTTTTTTTAAATTACAATATTGCCTTGAAACCAATTTATTAGATGGCAGGGCAGGATTTTATTGGCGCTGGCTATCTCGAGCTCTGAAATGCTCGTAGTCAAAGCAAACAAGTGAACAAGGGCACAAACAAGTGAAGTAACTTCCCCAATGGGTTACAGTGGAGTAGTGGGGAAGAAAATCTGGGTTTTGAATTTGCTCTCTGTTCTGTCCCATGGACTAAAAATAAATGAGTATGTAAAGTAGAAATCTCCTTGTTCTTGTATCTGATGAAAGTGGTTGTCTTTGCACATAACATCATTTTGCATAAGGATAATATAATAATGTTTGTTTCTCTTTATTCTCAGTTGTGCTTTCACAAGGATGGGTTTTGTTTGGAAAGCTAGGAAGGCATTTTACAGAGCTAGAAAAATGTACTCTTAAGCCATTTCAAGTTAGAGATCTGTAATGAGATTTTGGTAATGTATGAAACCATCTTTTCCATTCATCTGAATATTTTACAGATTTTATTGTGTATAAAGACTTTCTTAAATCTGCAAAACCCAAGATATTTTCAGTACTGATACCTTGCCTGTTTTATGGTTAAACACGGACATGAAAACCTGCCAGACTGTGGAATTTTTCTGTTTATGTGGTAACATGGGTGCAGAGACAGCCAAAGCCTGGAGTTCAGCATTGGCATGTTGTGGCAACACTTGCAGTGGGGCTTCATCAGCGCTCTTGCGTTTATATTCCCTTGCTCTCTGTGCTGTTCATACAATGGAAAAGTGGGCACTGTGGAGAGCATGAGGAGTCAGGTCAAGGGTCAGATATTTGAGACCATTTTCCCACAGCAGGCCTGTGTGAGTGATCCTTTACTGTGTTAAAAAAAAAAAAATTAAAAAAAAAAAAGGAGGATTAGAGGGGATTAGCAAGAATATTACCCTCTGGAGTGTAGGCCCAAGGCACTAAGAGAAGAACCTAGCCAGGCAGTAAATGTGCTTTATTTGGCCAGGGCACAACCCCTCCTACATTCCTTCAAGAATCTGAATGGGAAAAGTTAAGTCCTCAAACTGGATTAGTAAATAATCTCATAGTTTGTGGCATCTGCTGAAATAAATCGGCAAGTTAGCTGCATTCTTACACTTCGGGAGACAGTCAAGGAATTGCCAGCTACATTGATCAAAGATGTGGATTAGCTTTGGCTGTTATTGAATGAGACACTATATGGTAGGAGAGAACAACTCACAGGTAAATACTAGCGCTGATGCTGTCATTTCATTCTTGTAAAAATTACTGATCTGTTTTTAAAAGCTAGATTCAAATGAATACCTGTCTTTTTTTTAATGTACCATGAGAAAACAAAATTGCATGGCCTGTATTTCAAGGGAAATGGAAAGTGATTAGTCCTTGTGTTCTTTGACCCTTCTGTGCATCAGATATTCTGCTGATGTAGAGAGAAGGCTGAAATTGAAAAAATCTGAAATCAGAGATACTTTGTGGTAGTCCAGCAAAACCACATTAAAATGAGATTTTCCTGGGTTTGATTTATTGTTTTTCCTTTGGTTAGCATACTGACACTTTCTGGTTTGCTACTCATACTTGAGAGCTAACAAGTACTTAGCCTCCTACGTTAAAACTTTCAGGGATTAAATGATGAGTGAAAATACTGTTGGTGGTTATTCGGTGGGTTTTATTGCCTTTTTTTGGTTGTTTTGTTTAATTAGCCCAAACTTGTAGCTCATTGCTATTGTACCTGCAGCATTATACTTTGTGTATTCCACAAGAATGTATTTTCATATTGCCTTACTGAAGGTGCATTTTTTTCTGATGCTTTGTGTGTGAAAACCTCAATTTAAAAGTCTTGTAGATGGCTGTATGTTTTGCTGGTTTTCACTTCCCATGTGAGTGCAGGCTGTCTGCATGGTGTCAGGATTGGGCTGTTTCTTCAACAGGTGGAAGTTGGCCCCTGTTGTGATGTGCTCTGTTATGCCTCAAATGATCATTTATGTTTCACAATTAGAGACTGGAATATTCCATGTAACCAACTGTGCTTCCCATTTTTACTTTCAGTATTTACTAGAAATGAAAAGCTTAGTGCTACCTCCAGAGCATATTCTGAAACGAGGGGACAGTGAGGCAGTAGCATATGCCTTTTTTCACCTCCAGCACTGGAAGAGGATAGAAGGGGCTCTAAATCTGCTACACTGCACATGGGAAGGCAGTAAGTACCTCTCCTTGTTTTATTTTTTCTGTACAGTAGACTAATCTCTCTGCCTTTATTCACCTCTAAACACGATTGGTTCTCTTTGTGAGAAGCTGGTCGCTTCTGTTTAGATACCAGTCTAATGCCACTCACTCTTTTTTCAGCATTTAGGATGATCCCATACCCGTTAGAAAAAGGTCATCTTTTCTATCCCTATCCGAGTTGCACAGAAACAGCAGACAGAGAACTGTTGCCAAGTAAGTGGTTTCTAAGCAGTAATGATAATAAAACATAAGCTAAGGACATGTTCAGTTTGTGGTATTCTGTATTTACCTTACTGTGATTTTTTTAGTTTGAGCTTCCTGTGAAGGGGATTCAGCTATTTGTTGATGTCCCTCCCAAATGATCCTGAAGCACTTGACATGCGTGCATGGTAAATGTTAGCTTGATTCTATAATAACGTAAGTGCTTCGAAGATGAAGTCTGTGTGTGGTACATTCAAAGCTGGCCAAACTTAGTCTGAGAACAACAAAATGGACCGGTTCTTCAAATGACTACTTCTTTTAAAAGAAGAAGTCATGAATTTGACTACGGTTGTAGGGAAGCAGTTTCCTTCTAGCAAGGAATAAATGCATGGTTCCAGTCCTGCATTCAGGTGTCTCACAGAACCTGTCTGTGATCTTACAGAGAATCCTTTGTTAATCTGTAGCTTCAGAGAATGTGTTTTGTTTTCTGTCATTAATTCATTGGTACATATTTGTCTGCTGGACACTATGCTTCCCGGAACTTTTTTATGCGTGTAAGTATTTTTATGGATTTATACTAACACTAGATGCTGAAACGTAAGTCATTTCCAGCTGTCCATTACTTCAAGATTACTTTATGCAATTATGAGCTTACATATTTTTTTCTTTAGATAAGGCAAACAAACTAAACCACTATGACCTACGCTCATCATATTTAGGAAAATAGCATTAATTTAAATTAGAATTGGACTGTTAATTGTGCTGTTAATAGAATTCCTCTGGGGGTGAACTTGTACGTCATGAAGAAATGCAATGGGACTGGAAAGGGCTACTGCAAAAGCACCATCAGACCCACTGAGACCACAGCTGTGGAAAGGAAAACTATACATACGTGTTTCTATTTAAAAGCCTGAAGTTATATTTAAAATGTGTAATTTAAATTTGCCCCTAGACTGCTTTAAATTACTCATTTCTCACTTATGCAGGATATTGCACAAGGAATTCCTTGGTTAGCAACTAACCCTAAATTGTAGACTTCCCAGCATAATTAAACACCTACACATGCAGATATTTCAACACGATCACTCACGCGTTCCTGTTATGTTTTAAATATAAAACTACCCATAAATAAAATCATCTTAACACTTTTATTGCAGTACTTCCTCAAGAAATCTTGACACTTAATTTTCTAAAATTTATCTATTTAAAATAATGTTGGCCAAATTAATGTTTCAAAAATCCTTTATTGGTCTAACTAGTAACAGTTCCCAAATGACTCTGGACTTAGAGAATTGTCTTTAGTTGTCCTTATCTATTTTGGATTTGATCTTGATTCCGCAATGTAGGAAAAACTAGTGCGAAGAGAATCCTTCCCTCCTTCCCCCCCCCCCTTTCCTAAGTTATGTTGGGACCTTTCCTAAACTACACTGCTCCATGTTTTAATCAGGTGAGTTTCTACATAGTATGAGAGCATAACAGTGTTCCATAGTAGACAAGTGGTTTCTTTGGTTGGTCAGTAAAGAGGAGTGTGTTCTATCATGTATATCATGGCCTAGCAGAGCTGGTTGCACATTAAAAAGGTGAACTGATAATCTCTGGGATAACATTAAACATCTCAGCTGGGCGTTAGATATGGAACTCCAAATGTTCTACCTAATTGTGCTCCAAAATCACATGCTTAAAAGTAAAGCAAACCCCAAGCATTTTGCCATTAATGAGTTGCAACAGCACAAGGCACTTTTGCTGGGCTTGCTTTTATAATGGTAACTTTCTTTGTGCCAACATTCCGAAACAGTAACTAAGAGGTTAAAGTGTCTTTTTCCTCCTCAGACTTAAGTTTACTGCTTATCAAAAGCCAAAAAGTACAAGATGAAAAATACAATAAAAATGCATACGATTATATTTTCTTGTTTTCCAAAAAGGCTTACTTAAATTTTGATAGTTTTGTTAGATTTTAAAAACAGCTTGTCAAGAAGTATGCAGCCCTTTCATAATTACTTATGTCTATAGAAACTTTTTTTTCTTCATTTAAAACCCCTTTAAAATCATTGGATGAAAGTCAGAGCTGCAGGTATTCAGAGCCAGTAAGTAATTGCAAATTCACCAAACAGGTCCCTAGCTAGTAACCAGTAGTAGTATCTTGAGTGCTGAAAGCTCCATATGCCAGACCTTGGCCTGTCTAATCACCTTCTTTTGATTTTGTTACCATAGATTGGAAATTGCAAGGAGCTGCTACATACAGAATTTATAACCTAGTCCTGTTGCTGTTTTTTTTGAGTTCTACTCTGTCGTCTGCTCTGAAAAAATTTACTGTAGCCTACCAACCAGAAATCTTTGAAAAGTACTAAGGAGCCACCTTGCATTTATAGCTAACATGATGGTTGTTTTGTACTTGCTGAGCTTCTTGTAGGATGGGGAGATGTGCTGTTCTCTTCAGATAACAGGATTCATGCTTCAGAGGGTTGAAAACACCTGAATTATTTAAATTGGTCTAGGTGATTTTGACAGCTTTTGAATTTTTCAGTTCTTCCCTCTGTCCTGTTAAAAGAGTAGGTACCAAAAACTAAGCCTGATGAAAATGCTTCAAAAATAAAGCCCATGCGAGTGAAAAAGAAGATTGGGAACAGAAAGATGTAATGACTGTTAATAATGAAGACGAGCATTTAGGGGAAAAATTTTGAGAAGTTTAAGTACTAGGACTTAACATGTGCTGCACAATAGTCTTAAGTCCACACTTACTCCTTCTGAAAGTTTAGAACTGAGTTACAAGACTGTGTAAATAATTCAGAAAACTGTCCTTGATTATCAAATGTCAATATGCTTCATTTTTTCCTTTCAGCATTTCACGAAGTCTCCGTTTACCCACAGAAGGAACTTCCCTTTTTCATCCATTTCACAGCAGGCCTGTGCTCCTTTTCGGCAATGCTTGCCCTCCTTACGCACCAGTTCCCTGAGCTGATGGTGATTTTTGCTAAAGCTGTAAGTATTGTCTCTGTCATGGGGCTTGCTTAGGTAACTTGTGGGATCTTTGGGAGTTTTGAGGTCCATGGTGAAGTAGGCTGTAGTCAGTCTCTTGCTTGAGGGGCATGAATTATTTTATCTCCTTTTGTAAGAATCTCGTTAGTGACAAACACTTGTTGAAATTCGTGTGAAATGTCTATTTTGACAAGAAGGTGAACTGTTACTCTAAGCCACTACATACTGTGGCTTTAATTTGCACTCTTATGGTGAGAGCGCAGCATTTCAACACCAGAGAAATTTTGCTTCAGAGCACTGTGAGTATGGATTTTGTTCTCATAGAAGTGGAAGACTGCAGTGTGAGAGCCTCAAAAAAAAATAATTTGTTGACTGGAGATTTTGAGAAGTGAGTAGAAGGGCAGGCTGGACTGAAGGAAAAACAGGTCTCTTGCTGAACCTTGGAAACTAGTAGCATGGTGTGAATGGAACAGATGAGAACAGAGGTAAAGTAACTGTTAACTTCCAGGCCAGGTTCAGAAGTTAGTTAGCTGTCACCTACCTTTTGGGAACTAGGCCAATGGTTTTCCATCTCATCTGGTTCCAGTTGCTAGATGGAAAAGGTGTTCAGTGACCACAGTTCTGTCATTTGAGTACCTGTTCAAGGATAGAAATTGGACTTGACAATGGCAATCAGGCTTTTAGCTAGATATGTTTCTAACCTATGCTGGTTTAAATATATCTAAATATGTCTGCTGTTGAGCCATTTGTTCCTATGGGTGCCTTCTGTGCCCATCTCCTTTCTTCCTCTCTGTGCCCTGCTCTTTTTAGGGTTTCTTTTCCTTGCTTATCTCTTAACAATGCTACTGGCTGTGACCTTTTCATCTTTCCCTGGACTCTGAAAGCTGTGCTGTCTTACTTCAACAGAGGGAGAAACTGCATGGCAGCTTCCCCTCCCCACTTCTCAAACTGAGCCATGCAGTATATTTGGTCTTTACTGAACTGTGGATCTCGTGCAGTAGAGTGGAGTGGCAAATAAAGAGCTCTAAACTCTTGATGAATCATTTATTCTAGCTTTGCTAGTCAAAATAGAGGGTGAAAGGCATTATGCTTTCTTGCTGTTTTAATGCTGCAGGTAATGGAGACCCAGGAGGTAAGCCTTTTTTTCTGAAGAATACTTTGTTCCTAAAAGCGTTGGCTTTGCTAGTGATTCTAGTCTACAGTGTCCAAGTCATGCAGGTCTGAGAGTGGGGCCTCATTTCCACACAGTTCTGTTGATCTTTATGTTGGAAAATGTAGTTGGACATGCCAGTGACAAATTTCAGTGCTGCTCATAATTGGCTGGGTTCATAGTAACTAAGGTCTAACTATCTGCTTGATTAATTCTGTAAGGACTGCATTAGCAAAGTTGTATGATTTCCAAAGAGATACAAGGTCAAATGTTATGCTAACAAAGCATTGCTTGGTGAAGTTCTCGCTGCTGGGTTTCTTGAACCAAAAAAAGACTTTGTACGAGTTAGTTGGCTTTGCATAATGGCATTTTGAATATCAAGTGACATGTCCAAATGTGGGGGGGGAAACTCTCAGGGTTTGGTCATTTGGCAGTGTGTTTATTTCGCCTGTTTTCTATAGGAAAGGATGGGTAGTGTCTATTCAGCTGAAAAGATGGTCAAGAAGCATGCATATTGCCACATCATTCCACCAACCAAGTCACAGTGGTGGCAGGCACACACGAAAGGTTTCTTGCCACGCACTGTGCTAGTTTAATACTGGCAAAAGCGGAAAGTGTGTATTGAGATAAACAGACAAGAAGTGAATTCTGTATTAATCTCTTGAGATTGACAGCTGAGAAGGAAATACCATCTTCCAGTGTTCTGCCATTTTAGATAGAATTAATGTTAACTCCCAGTCATACTCTAATGACTAATATTCTTCCTTATTTTAATTGTTAGACTATTGTACTCTTGATCCCATTCCTGATGTTTTCAGAAGCATTCAGAAAACTTGTAAGAAACAATGATATTCAAGATCAAACTAACACATCTGATTTTATTCATAGATTGCTTCAGTATTTTAATTATAGATAATGCTGTGATGGCTGCCAACACTTTATAAAGCTTTATCTCTTGTGTTCTGGAGGTATGTGGCAGTAGCATCTAGTTGAATTTTCATACCAAAAATGCAAGTTTACCTTCTATTTGTTGATACCCACCTCTCCACCCAATAATACTGTAATAAAACAATTATTTGCTGTATCTAGTGTTATATCTGCAGGTAATTCCAGTGCTTTAAGCTTTCTATGAAAAATGAAATTTTTTTTCCTGTATATTTCATTATTTCAAGTGTTTTTTTCATGACACTGTGTTTTAGCTTATTAAATACAGTAATTTGAGATAGTGAAGTTCTAGATGGTTGATACCTGGAGTGCTTTGGCCTTAGTGAAAAAGCGATACAAAATATATTTCCAATAAATTGTTGAATTTCCAACAAATCTAAAACACAGTTTTAGGAATGACAATTGGAAAGTATCATGTATATGGAATTTTTCACTGTAAATCTCTAAGCGACTTAAATATGACTCCTTAGATTACATTTCAGTTGCTTCTTAATCAAACTGTTGTTTCCAGCAATTGAATCTACAGCAAACTGCATGCCTCTAAAGGGTTTTAAGAAGTTGAATACCTTTCTATTGACTTGAAAAGTCTGAGTTTACATATTTTCATTTGTTAGTGCTTGAGTTTGTTTCCTCCATAATAAATCACAGGGTAAACCTTGGCAAATTGCTAAAAATACTCCAAGTGGCCAAAAATCACAATGAAGCATTTGCTAGTTCCAATGTATACAGCGTAATACACCATCAGCAGAGACTTGAGCGCTGGCACCGGCTGGGGGGTGGGTCCCCCC